GGTACGACACCGCTGGTGGTGTCGTGGCAACACAGTGGGCAGTGATCCATGAGGTTGGCAGTTCAGAACCAGGAGCCACTCAGCAGGAGAAAGGCAGAGTTTTCTGTTCACGGAAACAGTGATGGTCTCAGGAACCGCAGGGGTCACTGTGAGTCAGCACTGACTCCGCGGCAGTGAGCTCGTTTAAAAAAAAGACGGGTGTTTATTAGGAACACAAATTCAGAGGTTTTTCTTCATTGTAATAAATATTTTAGCATTTTGGTTTTATATATCTATCAAACATTTTACATTTCTACAATCATCACATGCATATTCAATAACACGAATGATGTTCATTTTGTTCAAGCATTGCCCTTGTAAGTCCTAGCTTTCACGATGCTGTGTTTTCTTACAATGGACTTTGTCTCCGTTCCCCTCTCATCCCAATGTCGGTTAGTTAGAATGTTTCACCAGCCTCTCGCTTTCTGTCTTCATTGTGACATAGCTTTTGCTTACCCTCTCACCTTTACCCTCTCACCCTTGATGCTTTCAGTCCCACTCTGTCTCTAGTCCTCATCAGCGCTCCCTCCTTTTAATCCCGTTGTGACAAACGCACGCACACTTGGAATCTGTCCCAGTGGAATCCTTGATTCTTTGTCTCCTGTGGTCCTGGTGATCCCTGTGGCCCTGACTTGGGACTCAGCTCCCACTGGACAGTGGCTTGAATATTTCGAGTCTTGGATACAGGTGATTGGATCCTCCACAGGTATACATGAACCTGAGTCCTTTCAAGAGCACACCACAGCAGTTCCTGCCTCACAATCTCTACCTGCCCAACTCCATCCCACGTTTCCACACGGTGGCTCTAAGACCACCTCCTGCCCCATTTCCAGCTGAGACCAGCTCACAACACTTTGAAGATGGATTGGGTCAGACCCAGGGAGGAGCTGAGGGAGAACCACCAATGGCAGCTTAGCCCAGGCAACTAGATCTCCCCCGCTGTGGGGAAGAAACAGGAAAGCAATACTTGTGAAAGGTGACATGCCCCGGATTAGTTTTCCATAGAGAGAGGAGAACAAAGCCACGTCTCCTCAAATCACTCAGCCTGTTTTGTTTTGTTGTATATATTTTATTTAGAGTCTCCCACGTAAGACTGTAAATTTCCTGAAGGCAAAGCCTAAGTTAGATTTGCTTCCTAGTGAGTTCGGAGTCTGGGACCCGATGCCTGGATACGCAGTGAGTGTTGCTGAATGAAGGGCAATGCGATATTGTATGGCTCCTTGAGAGTGTTTTGTTTCTGATCGTGGTGCCAAGACACCTGCTGTGGAAGGACACTTTGTTCTCCCCGAGGAATCTTCTGCACCAGGGACATTCCTCGTTCCACAAAAATATTGTCACTTGGACAACAGTGACCTCCCAGAGGAAGCTACAGGTGATTGCCTTCAAACAGAGTAACAGGGGAATGCTGAATTTCTCTCCATTATATTGTGTCTGTAGTTCAGTCTTCAGCCAATCCACCCGATCACAAACACTGCTATTGCCCCAAGCAGGTTCCCCAGGAAGACAAAGACAAAAAGAACAGTGATGGAAGACTGTAACATTATGAGAAATACTGTTACACTGTGCTTCATGCCCGGTGATAGTCACTTAAGGTGACGTATGTATTTGTAAATGGTGTTATCCACCTTTCACGGCTTAGCCCCGCAGCTCATTCACCCTGATGAGATAGTTCTCAGAGAGTTCGTGGGTAACTTGATCATGAAAGTAACTCCATGGAGTTGAGCCGTGGTGCGTGCTCAAATGGAAACTCGCCCACTGAATGGCAGGTGCTTATGCAGCCTCCCTTGCCTTTGTTTCAGCTTGACTTCTGGAAACCTGATTCGGTCGCGCTAATCAAGCCTCACAGCACAGTGGACTTCCGTGTCCAAGCAGAAGATGTCTTGGCGGTGCAGGACTTCCTGGAACAGAATGAATTGCTCTATGAGTAAGTTCAGGCTTTGTAACTACTCGAATTCTCTACTCCACGTGCCCTTATCTGAGCCTCGGAATAACCCTTGGGGAGGCAAAGGTGAAGCCCAGAGGCTGCCTCACCTGTCCGTGGCCCACAAACGTCAGAGCTGGCTCACTCCAGACTCCAAATGAGACTTGCGCCACGCAGATTTTATGATTAGCCATTGCTCTACATTAAAATGGTTTTGACTGATGAGTCCCACAATTTCAGCCAGATACTTGGCCAGGCTATTAGCTCAGAAAGGATATTCAAAGGATAGGCCAAACCAACGGATACCAAGGGTGATCAGCTAGAGGCTGTCATAGCAGCAAATCTTAGCAGGCCGTTTTCCCCAGTTAGCAGCCATGCCTATTGTGATCCAGGAGGGGTCTCGGTGTTCTTTTAGCTAAAAGTCTTAAGGATCAAACTAGCATTGTTTTGACCCCAAAGTCTGCCCACTACCTTTAATGATAGGAGACGGCATGGAGAGAAGGCTCCAGAGGAAGAGAAGCCATTCCCCAAAGTCCTGAGTAGGGTCTGTTAATGATATTATTCGAGTCTCCTTGTCCAAAAACTATCCTTGTGCTTTTCAAGAGGAAAATGTCTTCGTCAGCACCAGCCACATACTGATCCCACAGATACCGAATCTTCCGTGGCCCAACCACTGAACAAGAAAGGTATGGCCCCACCTGCTTGAGAGGAAGACAAACCTTCAACAAGCAGTAGCATGCACTGCGCATGGAGGGTAAAGAGACAAAGGGTGGGAGGCGAGGCTTCCGCTGAGATCTGAAAGCTGAGTCTAATTTACTCAGACAAAGATGGGCAAAGCTGTCCTTTGGGTAGAGGTGGGAGGTGTACATGCTAAGAGGGTAGAGGTGGACATGCTAAGGTGGGAGGTGGGAGGGCCCACGTGGAGCAGGAGACATCTGCATGAGAGGAGAGAGGACCGAGATATTTAGTTCTGATCCAAAGCAGAACTCTTCTTCCAAGGGTGGGCAGGGAGCAGTGAAGAGAACGTCCTAAGCTCCTGGCCTGAACACTAGAATGTGGATCCAGCTAGCCCCCAGAACAAGCTCCAGGTGTCATATTTTGGGGTATGTGTTAGTCTGAGTAGACTAGAGAAAAAAATTCATAGACATGCATATGGGTATAAGAAGGAGCTTTATATACACAAGCAGTTGAATATTGAGGAAACATGGTAGTCCAATCAAGATCAAGTCCCTAAGTCCAATATTATCCCATATGTCCGATACCAGTCTATAAAGTCCTCTTCATACTCACATAACACATGCAATGATGCCGAATGCAGGAAGATCACAAGCAGTGGTAAAGGCATCTCCGTGTTGGCAGGGTCTCCATGTGGCTCCTCTGACTCCAGAGTTCTAGTATAGCTCCATGTATCATGTCAACAGATATGTCTTGCAGGGGGTGAGTGTGTGCCCCGCCTCCAGTGAGCTATTTATCTCCTTAGTGCCTCCAAATTAGGTCATCAAGCTGCGACCTGATTGACAGGCTAGACTCCACCCCTTCACTCAAATTGACAACAGATTACGTAACTACCTCAGAGGGGGAAGGATGTATGACCTATATAATTTTAAGATTAGAAATGGCGTCCTGCTTTTCACATCTTGCTATTGTTATGAATCACCCTTGAGGCAATTCCGACTCATTGTCAGGAGTAAAACTGTTCTGTGGGGATGATGGGATTGCCAAGACTTACTTCTGAGGGTGGGTTCAAACCAACAACCTTTCTGTTCACAATCCAGCTCTACAACTGCTTGTGGGGTCTTGGGTCATTTGTTCCTTGTTTCTGAACGTCAGTTACCTTATTCACAACACGGTGGCCGGATACCTTCCTCAAGGGGCTGCTGTGCAAATGGGAAAAGGAAAGCTACTGCTATTGCTGGGATCCTGCTAGGATTTGACTGATAGGCAGAGGGGGAGATGATCTATTTTTCAGAAGAAACAGCAAGGTTTAATTCCAGGATCATGCCCCACCATTGCTTAGTTATCTGCTTTGGCCTGGGGGAACGTGTCAAAATGTGACCTTAAGAAACAACAGTGTTTTGAAAGCCAAGAGGTAACTAGTCAGTT